AGCCAGCCGTAGAAGGCGCGCGAGATGATCTGGCGACGCATCGTGGAGCAGACCAGCTCAATGCTGGCCGTTTGGCTGGCCTGTATCAATGGCGGATCCGGATTGCTGCTCTGGTCAATCGAGAGGCTCTTGCTGGAGCAGTCGCTGCTGCCGGTGGTCGAGCAGCTGCCCAAATGCTTGCGCCGCGGACTGGAACGGCCCACCTCCAGTATGGGATGTGTGGCCACTGCAACGGGAAAGTCAATCATCATCATCATGAATCATCAATCATCATCAATCATGTCGTCTACTTACGGAACTCCTCGTGCTGACTCTTGCTGACCACACGAAACACATAGTCGATGGGCGTCTCGTCCATGGAGGACTCCATGACCGAGGGCAGGATGTGCCTGCGCACACTCTTGGGCCAGGGGAAGAGCTTGCCGATGCCGCGTTGCGACCAGAGCGGCGGATCGAGCTGCCCGTGCGGCAGCAGACCCGTCTCCAGGCAGCTGAGGAACGCCTGCAGGTGCCCGCCCTCCGGGAAGTGTATGGGCGGCCGCTGCACGCCGTCCTGGCCAACGAGTATGATGGTGCCGCCGGTGTCGCCGCCCCGATTCTGATGGCAATGCACATAGACGATCTCATCCACGTTGATGTTGAGCGCATAGCTCCAATAGTAGCTCGTGTCGCTCACATCGGGATCGTTGTAGCCGTTCATCAGCTGATTCGGCGTCCATTTGATGGTCAGCGACTGGACGCTCTGGTGCAGACTGAGGTAGCCGGGCATCGGCTCGGCCACATCCTTGGGCAGCACCAGCACATTGTTCTTGCCGTAGAGCAGGGTGGTGCGCGAGTTCTGATGCAGCGACTCCACATAGTCCTTGGCCACGCTCGCCGGCGAGCAGGCCTTGAAGCTGCCGCTGCTCGTGTCCTCCGAGCTGGTGTGCAGGCTGCGCTTGAAGTTGATGATGGGCCGGTGGCAGGTGGGCGGCGTCCGGTTGCCCGAGCTGATGCGATGACGCTGCACCTGTGCGAATCAATTGATGGGAATCTAAGCATTTGATTTCTTTTTAGAGCAACTGCTGATGCTTACCAGCTCGTCGGCGCAGGGATCGGACCAGTAGTGGTCGGCAGTCTTGGCGCGCGTGAACTCCAGGGCACAGGGACCCACCAGCAGGGAGCTGAGTATGGAGCCGTAATCGGGATCGGCGACCAGCGCCTCGCGATCGTAATAGCTCTGAGCGTTGTTCACCAAATGCTCAATGATCTTGGCCAGACGCTTCTCGTAGAGGGCCAGCCGTATCCACAGGTATTTGCCCAGCGGTGCGGCAGCACCGTTGGCGCCCACCGAGGTGACCACCGTATTGATGGTGGTCACCGAGCTGCTGCTGCAGCTGCCCTTGTTGAGCAGCTTCGGCTTGATGATGCTGTCGCTGCTGGAGGACGAACGCTTGCCGCTGACCGCATGGCTCTCGTGGGCCAGCTCCAGCTCCAGCAGCCGACGGCTGACATAGTCCGCCTCTGGGCATATCTTGGCTATCTTTTGTATCAGCGCCGTCGTCGACGACGTCTTGAACAGGCCGAGCGCCCGACGTCTCAGGCCGTGACTGAGGCAGGTCTCCACAGCGGCGCAGAGCGACGTCACCGAGCTGCTCTCCTCGTGCACGTACTTCTTGGTGACCGCCTCCTCCATCAGCTGCTTCACCTCCTTCTTGACGCTCGCAATCAGGCGCTCCTTCAGTTCAATTTCTGTATGTGTGAGAAAACACAAAGGATGTCAGATTGTGGGTCTAGAATCCGAACGGCGGACCTAATCCACAAGTCGCCATAGAATAACTGACAGGTAAGGGCAGCAGCACCGCATAGACCTGACCGTCCCTTTGAGCTCCTAGGGCCGCCCTTGGATCAGACGCTTTGCCTGACGGCTTAACCTTTTCCAGGGCCCAGAGCCTAGAGCTCACGGACAATCGCATTGTCCGACCGTTGTCAATCATTCTGTTATCAATGTCAATTGGCCTCCCCTTACACCTCCGCCTCTACCGGCTCTACCGACTCATACTATACTATTCCAGGATGTATTCACGAATATGCTAATGTCAGGCGAAAGGAAAGCCCGAAAAGGCGCGCGCTTCCAATTAGAATGCAAATAGGTTGAATCGGGATTTTGGGCTAGAGGCATCGATACCGTCACATGCCGACATTTGGCGGAAGCATTCGCTTATACAAGAACATATATATGTATGTACATACACAACTTAAGGAAAGCTAGAGCTAGAAGCCAGCTGATTTCTAGAGATTTTCTAAAGGCGAACGCGAGTTAAGGTACAGTACCGCTCATCTGAACAAGTTTGACAGTATTGAAAGTCTTAAAAGTCTTGACTTCGACTTGAATATGAACAATATCAATATATGATGAAATATCCTCTTATCCTTCAAGGGATAAAGAAATCAAAACGTTTTAGAATACCTAATGGAACAACGAGAGCTACGCAATTAGGGAACATACATATGTCTAGAGAGAGCCTACGAAGGTGCAAGGCAATTAAGAAACTCTGCAATCGTAGTAGAAAATTGCATACAATATTTTCGGCTAATGAAAGGGAAAAACAAGAATTTCAATTTCTTCAACAAGGCGTATAATTGATATTTCTTAAGATAAGGAATAGACAGACTTGATATGAAATATCGTAAAATCATTTTCCCTTTAGCTGAGCGCCTTTTTTAATTTTACATTTTTTGTAAATTGTCGTAGTATCCAAAACTTATTCATTGGAATCACAAAACTAAAAAATTCTTAATATCATATTTACATATGTAAAAATAATATTAAATGAAAACTTTGCAACTTGAAATTGTTTAAGTTTCGTATATGATATATATTTATATATTTAATTCAAAGCTAGAAACTGGAAAATTTTTATATATATATTATAGAGCTTAGAATTTTTGTGATCGATATTTATCGACAAAAATCGTTTATATAGCCTAACAAAAATACCGTTAGAGTTATGAGCATGCCACTGAGATTTGGTAGTTTTTGAGATTTGTATTCCAACTCCCTTTTTTTTTTCAAATAAAAAATTAATATTTTTTTATAAAATACATAACTAAATTCTTTGTTTGCTAACAAATTAAAATACTTGAGAGAAATATGTTCCCAATAATAATAGAAGATGAAAGTATAAACAATTAGAGACTTTGGATTCTCGGACAAACCTATTCAATTGAGCGTCACTGTGCAGGGTACAGGTAGGACACGATCCCAGGAGTATTATGGCTTGACAGTTATCAAAACATTTAGAGCTTAGTCGGGGGCCACCGACTAATTGGTGTTAGCTTGGTGACAGCAGAGTTAATATTGAATCGCAAGCGATAAGAGACAGAGAAAGAGAGAGAGAGATAGGGAGGGGGAGAGTGAGAGTGCTTAAGTAAGTTTGCCCTGGCCATTGGCATTGCCATTGCCATTCGGTATCCATTTGAATTAATCATTATATAATTTAATTAACAAAACACCTGGGCAGCGCCGCCAGCCGGGCTGCGACTGCTAACCTTGACTTGCCAAGCGAGAAGCAACAAAATAAAGGAAATATAGTGAAAAGGCAAAACGAAGAAAAGCTCGCCTCGTAAACCGTAAACTAGACAATGTGTGTACCTAGGCGTTGGGTGTGCACACACACACCGGGTGGCATATATGTATGTGTGTGTGTGCGTGAGTGCTGTTAGCTACACCTGCGACGCACACTCTTGACCCTGAACAACATAAAACAGCTGATGACAGGCAGAGCAGAGCGCGCGCGTGTGTGCGAGCGAGACGACAGCTGTTACAAAACAAGGGAATCAGCGCCTTGAGTGAACGCCAGAGTACAAAAGGAGCGTATGTGAGGGCGAGAGCGAGAGTGGTGAGCGCGTAAGCGTAAGCGGGACAGCAACAGCAACAGCAACAGCGACGGGAGCGAGTGCGAGTGCGTGAGCAAATCGTACGGTAAATATGAGCTTGTGTCCTGCTTTTGCTTTTGCCTGTGCGCCTTTAATTTGCCGTCAGCTACGACCTCGCGCTTCATTTGCCCGCGCCATATTGCAAATGGAAGCTGGACCCAAACATATGTTTGCCACCCAACCGAGCCAAACATATAAATACACACACACACACACATGCACACACACAAAAGCCACAAGCAGGTCAGGTGCACACACACCGCACCTACGCCGCCTCAGCCGGGTATAAATACCAGGTTTACTCGCAGCATTACGCTTTGGTAACCAGATTTCGAAATCCAAGGCTTTGATGACAGGCGAAATGCACGAGGCTAAGCAAAAAGCATTCAAATTTCTCTTCCATCGCTAGGACTTTGGTTTGAGTTTGGCTGAATAAATTAAGGTAATGCCGAGAGGGGGGAACAGCATAGCTTATCTCGTCCTGAATGGCAACTATGTCTTAGTAAAGTTGGTTAAGGTAAATGAACTACAGGAAATTGCAATAAAGAAAGTAGGAAAAACTTACTACATATATTGCCTACGAATGTAGGTCTTTAAAGACGACTATGTCTTCCTTAAGCAAAAGGAAATATTTCAAATATTCCAATCGATAAAATATTTCTTTATTAGCTAGTTAAGAGGTAGTCTTAGACTTAGTTAAGCAAGTGAACGTAAGGTAAATGACCTATAAAAAGATGTTCAATAAAACAGTAAGAAAAAATTATAATACTGTCTAGAAATTTAGGTCTTTAAAGAAAACTATGTCTTTGTAAAGCAAAATTAAAACAACAGAATAGCATAAAATATCCAAGGAAATATATTTTAGACGATAAAATATCTCTTGATTAGCTAGATAAAAGTTTGTCTTAGTAAATGAACTAGAAAGAATTGCATTAAGAATCTATGAAAAATATTTTATTATCTACTAGGGTAGGTTTATCAAGTCCAATTATAATGAAGGAAAAATATTTTTGCCGAGCAAAGCTGAATGTATTAACTATCCCTTGATGGGCCAATTAAGAGGTTCCAGCTTTCTTATTGCATCTTCAAGGACAACTAAAGAAAATGAAGTGAAAGCAAGGAAAATTGGAGCAGAAGTAAAAACTTCATTGTAAATCGAGTAAAAGCATTCCTCTGCCAAGCAAAGTCGAATGACTTAAATATCACTTGACTATCTGCAAAGATAAGAAATTCCAGGCTTCTGACCGCGAATAATGTAGCTTGATTACTCACTAAGGTGGGAAAGCGGCCTCAGCTTGGCTTTCCGTGTCCTTAAGCAGTTGTATGATTTAATAAAGTGACAATAAAGAAATAAATTAAAAAAACGTAAAGCAATTTTACTCAGCAAAACATTTAAGTCGGGCAACGGCGGTTACTTAAAGCGTCGCTTGATTAGTTACCGATGGACGTAAACGGAACCACGGGTGCCGTTACCGGTGCGCCAGCCACTCATTAAAAGTCGATATTTACTCAATTAGCTCGACAGAGGCAAAGGGCAAGAGCACAACAGTTCGTCAGCTCGCGGACTGCAAATAAACATACGGACGTACAGACAGGAGTGCTGTACGGCGTGCAACAGGCTTACAGGCGCGCGCCACAACACGCCCGGACGCCCGGACGCCCGGACACCCGGACGTCGAGACATTGAAATGATGAATGCAAATTTTCTCGTCTGACCCTGAACTTTTGCATTTGACGTTGGCATTGCTAGAAGAGGCGCCAAAGGCCATTTCCCAGGTATGCGTAATTTAATTGGCTCCGTCGGCCAATTGGCACACTCCGTGCAGTCAGTGGGCGATGGCTAACCGATAAGCCCGTCCATTCGGCGTGCTGCACTTGAGCAATCGATGCCAATTAGTTGGCTATTTGCATTTTAAATATGCGAATGCGTTTAAGTGGCAGCAGGTGGCAGCAGGTTATACGGCCGTTAGGTGTTTTTGTTGTTCTTTTTTTAACAGCAGTTAAATGTCAACTGCCTTTGAAATGACTAAGTGGACTTTAGTTCTTCCTCTCTCATTCACATAACTCTTTCGTCTGATAAGCGATATATATACAGCTGAATTAGATCTATTGAGTCAACATTGCTCATACGTTTAGATAAGATTCGAATCTATATGCTTATTACTGAGCTGAGTTTGAATAATGCAAAATGCATGAGCTTATCAGCGTTGAGTGCTTATCAATAGTTATTGAAAGTTTTGACAGGAATAACAACTCGATTTGATTTACGCACAACTATTTCAATTTGCTGGAATTGCAGACGTTTCTTTCCAAGCCCATAAAAGTATGCTACATAAAAGCTTTCCAATATTAATAAGGCCCGCATCAGCCAAATGAAAACTTTGTGTCTGACTACACATATCATACACACACACGCAAAGAGAGTGATAGAGAGAGAGAGAGAGAGAAAGACGGGCAAATTACAAAAGTTCTGCTCTGCTCGAAAAGTTGCTGATAAACTTCGCATTTGTCTTGCAGAACATAAAATCATTTCGTTTTCTCACCTTCAGCTGCGACGCTTTCTAATCATCAATAAACATACACAGGCACGCACGCACTCACTCACACTCACGCACACAACATACATATAAACATATATACATTGGTATACATAATATCAAAGCTATCTCGCCTGTTGTCATTGTTGTTGTTGCTGTTGCTGTTGCTGCTATTGTTTGTGTGGTTGCGGCATGGCAAAACATGAGCAAGAAAAAAACAACCAAAAGAAAGAACGGAAAAAAAAACAACAACTTTTTCTCACTCACCGCTGGTGGCATCGCTGTTGGCATTGGAGGCGCCGCCGCTGCTAAAGCTGTGTAGCATATTCATTTTTGGAGGATCCGAGGTACGTGCTTCACCGTTAGCGAAGGCTCCCGTTAGCTGCTACTGTCTGTTGCTCCTGCTGCTACCGCTGCTCCTGCTGCTGCTCCTGCTTCCTTGCTCTCTTCACTTCTTCCTCTGTCCGTGTATGTATGTATGTGCGTAATTCTTTGGGCAAATATTTTCAGTTTCAGTTTTGTTTATGCGTCTTCGTTGTTATTTGCTTCACACACACACACACACGCGCGCCCTCTCTCTCTCTATCACTCGTTACCGTTCTCTTTCTGTCTGCTGCGCGATGTAGTCGTGCCTGCCTCTTCGCTCTATTCGTTGGCGCTGTTCCGTTATGCCAGCTGCTGTTGTTGTTTTTATTTGTGTATTACTTTTGCATTTCTTATTGTATGTATTTTCTCGCGATTATTATGCAAAACAAAAAGTGGAAAAGTATATTGTATAAAAATCTATATTCGTTGTATTCGTATTTGACAAAAATTTCAGTTATTATTCCGTTTCCTGTACCATACAGGGCTACTACATAAACACACACATGGATCCGCACGCATGCTACTACTCTATGTATGCGTGTATGTATGTATGCGTTTATTATAGTTATTGTTGCTGCTGCTGCGACTGCTGCCGTTGCTGTTATTGTAAAAGCGTCGTCCAAAAATAATTACGCATTTTGGCATATGTGCATATGCGCTGGGATCTGTATGAGACTGTGTGCTTGTGCATATGTATTTGTGTATTTACATATGTCTCAATGTATGTATAGTATGTGTACATATGTACATATGTATGCACATATATCACCACACTCGACTCTGTTGTGATGTTTTACATTTCCGCTGGCTAGCGCGCTCTGCTCTCGTTGTTGTTGTTCGATTTGTTGTTGTAGGTAACGGACGAATATTTAGCTGGCGGGCCCGTTATGCACAGTTCGGTTGTAGCTGTAGCTGTTGCTGTTGCTGTTGTTGCTGCTGTTGTTGTTGATGTTCTTGTTGTTGCATACTTTCTTGGGCTATCTGTCTCACACCATTTTTGCCTACACACTGTGTGCGTGCGTGCGGTTGTGTGTGTGCGCGTGCTTGCGCGTCTGTCCGTATTCTGTTCGTCTGTTTGCTGTTGTCGTCCGTTTGCCAGCAGCCTCGCTTGTGTACTAACGGCAACTTATTGACACTCACAAGGCGAAGTAGCCGCCAGTCGCATTACACCGAGTATCGAATGTCGATAAATTACGACAGATGTAATATAACGGTTTTTTGATGATTTCAAATAATTTAAAAGACTTTGGTTAACTAATAATATTAATTCATAATTTATAAATACAGCTTTTAGCAATTTATTATTTTATGAATTGAATTATAATAATAATTATAAACTATTTTAATTACATTCTTAGAAATCATAACCAAAAAGATTTTAATTTAATCATTTTCTTGAACTAATTTAATATAAAAAGGATTTAATTTTTAAGAACAAATACTTTTAAGCATTAAATATTTATTACAGTATAAAAAGCGTTACAATTACATTTCTCACAATTATGAAAGTAAAGAGAACTGCAATAATAACTTAAGCGATTTTAGCTTCTCACAAATAGTTCTGGAAATTTATTTATTTATTCAATTTTTTATTTTTTAATTTAAATTTAATTTTTATTTTAAAAGTAAACAAAAAAATATATATTTTAAATTTCGAAATTATGAAATTTGTAAAATAACGTCACTCAAGTGAGTGCGAGTGAGAAAGCGAATATCATAGAGCCAAAAATCATGAGTGCGAACATGGGAAAGTAATGAAAATAACAAAGAAGGCAAATGGACTCTAAGATGGCATGATAGAGGGAGAGGGAGAGTGAAGGAGCGAGAAGAGCATATTCCGCTTCCAGCAATAGTAAATATTAATGTGTTTTGTAATTTAATATTTATGTTTATTAATTAATAATTTATTTAATATTTATGTAAATAACTTTACCTTCAGGTGATTCATAGTATAGAATAACTATTCATACTCAATATATTTAGATTAAGACAGACTGAAAAATATACAAATGTAGATACATTTCGATTGTGCTCTGTTACGAGTCGAATGACAGCTCTTTAAGTTTCATAAGAAATTCATTTTTATTTTCAATAAACAATAAAAAATATACATATAAGGTGGTATATAATTACACACAATGCTGGCAAGTAAATAAGGCTTGATAATTTCAATATAATCGAAATTAGTTTGCATACAAATATTTCAGTGGAATGTCACGCCGTGTTTATGTAAATATACATCAAATATATACTATATGTTATATATTAACTAACGACAATGACATCGCCACAAGTCAATTGCTGCTGCTGCTCTGGTCTGTCGTCCGTGTCAGTGGGCAGGCGGGAGATGTAGATCCCGAATCGCATTTTGCCGCTCTGCATGCGGGCGATGGTCGTGAGGGTCTCGGGCGAGCGTTCGCCGGTGCGCTGATTGATGCAGATCATGTCGCAGCGCTGGCAGGGTCCGTCCACCTGGAAGCGAGTGTCGCCGATGCGCAGCTGCGTGTAGGCTAGCTCCTCGAAGGGCGTGCCCGTGTCGATGATGATGTTGGCGCGAAAACGATCCACGGTCTCGTCCAGCGACTCCTCGAACTGCAGCGAGCGCACCGAGGCCCGATTGACCAGCAGGAACTGTGCCTGATTCACCAAGCTCAGCTGCTGCTGCTGTGCGCCCGGTGCGCTGCGCTGTGCGGATTGACGCAGCAGACGCACGCCCTCCAGGCCCAGGCTCTGGCTTAGCCAAGTGGCCACCTCATCGCCGCAGTCGTAGCCCTCGATGGCCTGGCGACAGACCTTGCTGTGGCAGCGCGCCGAATTGGCAGCCTGCACGATCAGCGAGAGTGGCACGCTGCAGGACGTCTCCGCGTAGTGCAGCTCGAGTTGATCACCCAAAATGCGAGGCTGTATCAGGCACAGGTCTGTGCAGCGTTTCTGGGTCAGCGCCATGCCGTTCATATCGACGATCATCCACTCGCGATCATACTGCAATCCCTGTTTCGTCAGGGGCCAGCTGCCTGCGGAGCTGTCTATCTTGAAGGCAGCGCAGGACTTCACTGGGTAAATGGCCAGCTGGAGGAGACGTGGGCGCAAACGTCGTGCTCGCTGCTGCAGCGCCTTAGGCAGCAGCTCCGCCTGCTGCTCAATGAAGTTGAAGCGCAGCTGCGGCTGCGCGATCACCAGATAGCTGTTGCGCAGCATCTGCAGGAATCGATCAACGTCTTGGACGCGCGTCATGTAGCCGAAGGAAACGCGCACGGCACCCGTCGGGTGTCCATCCAACAGATCGAAGTAGTCGCCACAGATGCGTCCGGCGCGCTTATAAATCGCATCCATGGTATCGTCATTCAGTTGCAAAAAGTGCTGGCAGGCGCCCACGTTGCAGAAGCAGCCGGTGCGCAGCAGGATGCGATGCAGTGCAGCCATGCAGGCGACCTCGCCGAAGCCCACATAGTCGCCTGCGTCGGTGCGCAAATTGAAGGCAACGGTGCCGCCCTGTTTGGCCCGATCCTCGTAGCCGGCGTGGTTATACAGCGTGATGAGCGGCGCACCATTGGGATGCTTTAGCTGCTTCAGCTGGTGCTCACAGTAGCGCGCCAGGCCATGGACATGCCGTGAGATGCGCTCGATGCTGCGACCGGGCACCAGACGCTCCAGCGTGCGAAAGCCCTGCAACAGCTCCACGATGGACAGAAATGGCAGTGTGCCGTCCTCGAAGCGCTCGTGGAACACGTTGCGCAACTGATGCTCCATGGTGTGGGGATAGGCATAGTTAATGGTGCCGCCGCCATAGAACCGCTTGCGCAGCACCTCTGCGCCGCGTCGGCTCACCAGCAAACCGCCGACGCCCGTTGGATAGCCAAAGATCTTGTAGAAGCTGACGCAAACGAAATCCGGACGGAAGCGCTGCAGGTCTAGCGGACTGCTGGCGGCAAAGGCAGCCGCATCCAGGCAGACATAATAGTTTCTTGCGACGTCTCTTGCTGCTGGCTGGGACTCTGCACTCCAGATGCATTTGCCCAGTTGCTGCAGGCCGAGCTTTTGAATACGCTCAATGACAGTCAGAGGCATCTTGTAGCCGCTGAAGTTGCACTGCGCCGAAAATGTGACCAGAGAATTGGCCTGTGCCGCGGCAGCTGGAGCTGTAGCTGGAGTGGCGGGCGAATCCAGTACATTCAGCTCAATGTCGTCTTTGGTGAGCATATAAATGCCCTTGGCCTTGACCAACTGGCGCATGCCCAGCACTGAGGTGTGATTCTCCTGGCAGTAGTGAAAGTTGCCATCGCCGGCGAAATCAAAGTGCTCGGCGACCAGACGCAGTGCAGCCGTTGCATTGGCCGTGAACACAACATGATAGTCATCGGCGTTCGTATTGAAGAACTCGAGAATTCTGTAAAAGATACCAGCTCTATCAAATCAACTGTAACTAGTCATATTAACAACCCTACCTGTAGCGCACCTGGTCCACATAGTCGCCGGTGGCGCGACAGGTGTGCGGATTGCAAATAACATCGCGCTGCAGTTGCTGCGCCGCGCTCAGTACTTGGCTCTCGGCGTAAAGTGTTGTGCCCGCATGATCGAGGTAGGTGCTCTCTGAGAAGTGTATGACGTATCATTCAATGGGTTTCTTATCAGTGCCACTATTTCGCCATTCCTTTTCTACTTACCCCCCAGTCTAGAAAACTCTTTGTCAATGAGCGCCTGCTCTTCAGCTGTAAACTCGGCTGTGTACTCGACCATTATTGCGCACTCGACTGCAGCTCCAGCGTTATTTATGGCTGCAATTCGAGAGTTGGAGCAGCAACCGGTAATTATAGAGATGTTACTCGATAGCTATATTTTAAATAGCGATCACCGTGTATCGCCATAAAACAAAATAGTACATATCGATAAGTTACATCAGAATTCATATCTATGAGTTGCAGAATAACATAACTCATATCGATGCTTTGCCGAAAGTGAATATATTCAGTGATATATTTTAAACGATATAAATTATAAATTGCTCAAATAATTTTTTAAAGAACATTAATATTAATTTAAAAATTTATTTGAATATAATTATTTTAAATATATAGTGTTTTCAGTTTCAATTTTAGGTGCTGGAAAACACCATAATTGCTCTGCTGCTTAAGAGTATCATCGCGCTATCGATAACAAGCAGCTGCTTTCGCCGTACTGCAAACACAATTGCAAGCCAAACGCATTGTGTTTTCACTGTTGAGTTTTTATTTTCGCAAACGTTTAAAGTCAAACATGCCCAAGGAGAAATCGCGACATCGTAGTCGAAGTCGGAGTCGCAGCCGTCACAAGAAGAGCTCACATTCGCACAGCTCTAGGCACAAGCACAAAAGCAGCAGCGATCGCCGTCGGGACAGATCCACAAGTGGATTAGAACGTGGTCGGGAAAAGGAACGAGAACGAGACCGAGATCGAGAAAAGAAACGAGAAAGGGATCGGGACTCAGATAAAAGTCATCACAAGCGTAAGGAGAAGCGCAGCAGGAGTCGACATCGCAGCTCGAAACGGGATAAGAATCACAAGGAACATCGTGCACGTTCGTCCACATCCAGCAGCTCAACCACGTCCACATCATCGTCGTCGTCGTCGTCGTCGTCATCTTCGGCAGCGAAGCACAAAGATCAGAGTGCAGGCGGCAAGCCGGCAGTCAAACGCGGCACTGAAACGAATTCCATAAAGTTACTGCAAACGCTGGAAGAGCGTCGATTGCGTGATCAGCAGGAGCGCCAGCGCCTGAAAGAGGAGATCAAGGCGAAAGAGACTCCTGAGGAGAAACGGGCGCGTCGCTTGCGCGAAAAGCAAGCCAAGGAGCAGCGGCGTCGCCAGCGCATGGGCTGGGACAACGAATACCAGACGTATTCCAATGAGGACAATCCCTTTGGGGACTCCAATCTGACCTCCACCTTCCACTGGAACAAGAAGCTCGAGGTCGAGGGCCTGTCCAATCTGTCCAGCAAGACGGTGGAGGTGCTGTCGCTCCAAAAACAGCTGGAGAACCGTCGCGAGCTGGAGAAAGTGAAGAAGCTGCGGCAGGAGCGTGAACTCGAGCGACAGGCGCGTGAGGATGAAGCCATGCAGCAGCAGCGCGCCAAGGAGGCGGTCCAGTTCCGCGAATGGCAGCGACAGGAGGACCTGTTCCATCTGGAGCAGGCCCGTCTGCGCAGCGAGATTCGTATCCGTGATGGACGCGCCAAACCCATCGATCTGCTGGCCCAATATGTGACCTCCACCAATACAGAAACGGACCTGGAGGATACCCTAGAGATGCAAATGCACGAGCCGTACATGCTGCTGAACGGCCTGAGCATCGAAGAGCTGGAGGATCTGCTGGTTGACATCAAGGTGTACGAGGAGCTGGAGCAGGGCAAGCACATTGACTTCTGGAACGACATGGTAACCATTGTCCAGGACGAGCTCAAGAAGCAGCTGAAGATAAAGCAGAACGAGGCGAACGCGCTCAATCAGCGGCGCGACGGCATCCACCAGAGCGTCGTCAAGGATGTGGCCAATATCTTTAGAGGCAAGAACGCCAAGCAGCTGGAGGAGATGCGCCAGCGCATCGAGGCCAAGATTAGCAGCCGTGCCGACGGCGTGGACATTAGCTACTGGGAGAGCCTGCTGTCGCAGCTGAAGGCGCACATGGCGCGTGCCCGACTGCGTGACGCCCACCAGGCGCTGCTGCGTGAGAAGCTGCAGCAGCTCAAGCGCGAACCCGATCCTCCCACTGTGGTGGAGGTTAATTCACCCTCATCAGTAAAACAGGAATCAGATCAAGAGATGGAGACAAATGCCGGAGAGGAGCAAGAAATGGATCAGGATTCGGCCGACGAGGAGGAAGACCCCAACGCTGAAAATCCGCTCAAGGATTTGGAACGCGCCTGTGAATTGTACAAACAGGGCAACTACAGCCCCAACTACATACGCGAGGAGGACTTCAGCGGTCGCCGGCTGACCGCCGCCGATGAGGACAACATCGATGGCGGCCTCTATGCGAGCAGCGACGATGAGGAGCGTGTGCAGCGGCAACGGCTGCTCTTCGTTTATCCGGAGCGCGGAACGGATGTGGCGGAGCTGACGCCGCAAGAGCTGCGTATGCGCGGCGAGGCTCGCAAGGGCATGCAGGGCGACGAGGCGGAGTTCAGTGTGGAGACCACACTGGACGCAGTGCCTCAGCTGGCCACCGACAAGTATCGGCCGCGCAAGCCTCGCTACTTCAATCGCGTCCACACGGGCTTCGAGTGGAACAAATACAATCAGACGCACTACGACATGGACAATCCGCCGCCCAAGATTGTGCAGGGCTACAAGTTCAACATCTTCTATCCGGATCTCATGGACAAATCGCAGACGCCACAATACTTCCTCACGCCCTGTGCGGACAATGGGGACTTTGCGGTGCTGCGCTTCCACACGGGGCCGCCGTACGAGGATATCGCCTTCAAGATCGTCAACCGAGAGTGGGAGTTCAGCTACAAACGGGGATTCCGTTGCCAGTTCCACAACAACATCTTCCAGCTGTGGTTCCACTTCAAGCGCTATCGCTACAGGCGCTAGGCCGGCAGACACGCCCACTTTATTTGCAGTCCTCTTTTTTTTTTGTAATGATAATAAGATCAAATATTTTCTAGTATATTTATTGAGTCTATTTGGTATTTAGTATGTTGTTTCCTTGGCTTCTCTACATGATGCTGCAGTCCTTGATCGGCGCCTGCTGCACTGCCTGCACCGGCTCGCCGCGCTCAGCTCGCTGCACCTGGGCGAGCACGCTCTCGTGCTGGGGAAAGGCCATGCTGGCCAGCTTCGAGTGCACCAGCTGATCGTCGATGGTCACCTCAAAGGCGCCGCGTCGGCCCTGGTGGCAGGAGACCTGCACTCCCGGCGCTGCATCCACCAGAAACTGTCGCAGCAGCTGGCATTGCAGCGAGAAGTTACAGGTTCCACTGTGAATACATATATACATTCATATATACATATATATTTGTTTGATCCAAATTAATTATATTTGCAGCTAACCAGTATTCAACATCCACATTGACCATTGCATAAACAATAAACAAACCGCAGATTAGGGATATTCCTCCTATTGAACTACAATAATAAACAAAAATTAAAAGTCAAAAGGATATTCCTCTTAGTAAATTATATTTATATAAGAAGGGTTCAAATAAAAATCGTTAGGTAACTTGCATAAAATGGTGAATTAAAATCCACAGTGGCTGTGCATATATTAAACTGATAAATTGTGCTTCACGCTGATTTATATATTTTTAAAATCACTTTATTACATCTGATTTAAAGACCCTGTCTCTGATTCACATAAGTATCTGATTTTATACGTTAAAAAAGGAAACACTAGTTCGCATATTCAATTCATAACTTTTAAACTTTTATACTTATTTCAAAATTAATTTTAAACTTACAAATTAATTTAAACTTTAAATTTGACTAGTTACGTCAAGTGAACAATATTTAATTTAATTTTCATTTCATAAATGCCTAGTTATAGAACAGCAGAGACACCAAGGGAATGCCTTTCATGCGAATTATCGTTTAAATTTGCTATTATCGATATTTCACTCATAGCTAAACAGTTTCACAACTATCGAACTTTAGAGATGGGAATTTCTCAGCCCTTATTAGCGCGCGCACGCAGCAATGTTTTGCAGGCGGCATTGTGCGTCTTCAGCGGCAGTTCATCTGCAAAGCAGTAGAGGATTAGACAATGACGAAAGTGTGTTTTCTAAATTGCTTACAGATCTTGGGCTCGCCCTGCACTGGTAACAGCACCGGCAACTGCTCCGGCCTAGAGCACACGAAAACATAGGGACTGTCCGATTCGCCCTCGGGATAGAGCTCACGATATTCCTCCTGGGGCAAACAGCTCTCCACATTTACGCAGCCCAACAGGCTGCTGGTGGGATAATGTGTTGGAAACTTTATATTCTCGTCTAAATGAAACGTGAATTGCATTATTTGTGTTCATCTCGTCAAGCTTAGCCCAACACCCACCTTTGTAGAGCTCGCGATAGAATTGCTCCAGTTGAGCAATGACCTCGGCATGCGGCTCCTTGGACGTCGAGGCGATCCACAGGCGGCCGCGATGCTCACTGTACCAGACGCGACCCTCGTGCCTGAAAGAGCAATCAGATTACAATTAGTATAAATGTATATCCATAAATAGAATTCCAATACTTTTTTATGCCGGCCACTAGGAGTGATGCCCACGGCTGATGCATGGAGAGGCATTGGCGCATGTCCTGCATTTCGAGCAGCTCCTTATCCTGCACTCGATTGTAGATGCGCTCCAGTCCGTCACTGATGATCGGGGCGGGCATATTCTTGAGCTCCTTGCTGGCCTTGAAGACGGGCGGCTTGGCCACATCGAGATTTGGCGCTAGCCCCAGAGAGGAATGACCAGTTAGTCCCTGGCTCTGGCCCGTTGATGCAGCTTTGCTAGCCGCAGCCAGCTGGCGCAGCACCAGCTGCTCATACTCTGTGGTAACCGGTGGCTCCTCGGGCAGATTGCGGCCAGCAAAATCGACCTTGATCTTGCGCTTGAGGCGACTGCCGTGCTTCATCTCGTGCATTTCGCTCTTGAGCTGCTCGAATTTCTCACGCTCGGCATCGGTCAGCCAGACGGAGTTCTCCTGGAAGTAGTCCAGCTCATCATCGATGACAGTTGTGCGCTTCTCGCTGTTACGATCGTATTCCAGCAGACGATCCCGTTGCGCCAGCGCTTGCTGCAAATCCTTATTGGATTTGGCAGATGCTTTTTGTTGCTGCTGCTGCTGTTGCTTTTTCTGCGCTTTCGTCTGGCCCTTGGTGCTCGCCCGATTCGAGGCCGCGACCTTTGCCATCTGCTGCTCCTCCTCGGCAGTGTAGACGGGCTCGTCGCAGTAGAGGCACGGTCCGCTGCCCTCCTGCTCGCACACAATGCGCCCGCAGCCCAAGCAGTTGTTGATCAGCTGATGCTCGCTTGCCTGGCAGTCACAGCTGCGCCGGCCCTTCAGCAGAACGCTGTTGCCCACGATTTTGCCATCGCCGGAATAGAGATTGACATGTTTGTTCTGTTTCTTGGCTGCGCCACTGCTGGCTTTTTGAACAGGTGGGGAATTGAAGGTGGGCGGCGATTTCTTTTTGACATCGCTGCGGGGCTGTTTGCCGCTGAGCAGCATGTGGCGGCAATTATGCAGAAACAGGCGATGCTCCTCGTTGTCCTCGGACAGCAAGTTTCCAAAGTAATTGTCGAACTCCTCATCACTTTTGATGGCCAATATGGTGCTGGAATTCGAAAATATAAAATTAGATGGGTTACAAGTAGGTATTCTGCTACACCCACGCCATCATTTCCTTCGTAACCACACAATCCAGGCATTTCGACAACGATTCACTCAGCCACTTTTCCATTATTTCTGATGAAATAGAAACCAAAATCACGTCGATGGCCCTCGTAGCTAGCACGTTTAATAATTTTTAGATTTATATTTTTTATATTATCTAATAAATAAATAATAATAATAATAATAATAATAATAATAGACCAAAACACAAATGAACAATTCGGAGCACTGCAGAGTATAACTATCGATTAGCTATCGATAAGCTATCGCGCCTTAACATTTGTTCCAATAAAAATACGAAATGTAAAGTAATTAAAAAAGAAAAGTTAATGTCTTAAATTTGTACTGATTTACAAATATAATTCTATGAAATGCAGGACCTGTAACGTACAAAATATTAACGTGACCATCGTGACTGGAAGCAGTGTTGGTTACGGCCTTTATGGCCAGATGATACTACAAAGATATGGCAACGCTATGACAACAAAAATATGCGAAATGCAAGTATAAAACAAAATACAATAAATGTTCGTGAGAGGAATGAAAACATTTTAAACGCTCTACCGCTCCCATTCGTGTTATGCTTCTGCTTCCACTGTGATCTAATGTATAATAAATTTATTACCGTGCGAGTTTACGTTAAATAGTAACTTAAGATAAAGACGCGTTGTGTTTATTTAATTGGTTTGTCGCTCTCACTTGTGTCTATGTGTGTGTGTGTATGTGTATGTCTAATATTTGTTGTAAACAACAAAATGTAGCGCCAGCCTATAACAAATATCTGCGGCTGATTTTTGTGTTTCTTGTGTCGTTGTTCAAATAGAAAGCGCTGCCGACACACAGCACCATTAACTGCGGCCACAAAAACAACACCAACAACAGCAAGAGTATTTGCAAAAAATCAAAGCAGACGTCGGCAACAGTAGAGAGAGAGAGGAGTCGGAGAGAGGGTACGGCATCAGAGTCTTTGTCCAGACAATTTAAGCAGCAGCATCAGCCGCCGCAGCAGCCACCCCAATTCTTATGCTCATTCTGACAGCTGTAAGATTTGTCACACGCCCCGTTACTGAGGGAAGCTCTTCGCTTCATTGGTGCTCTTAGTACGGTTAATTTAAGCTAACGGTATTCTGTAATAACCAAGCGCCGCTAACATTGCTGTTGCTGATTGCAAATTGCGTGCGTCGCCGTCAGCCAGCCACGCTCGGGCTATCACACATACATACACACACACGCACGCACATACACTCACTCTCTCTCTCTCTCTTTCTCTGTCTCTTCTCTTCTTTTGCTCACATATGAGCCCCATACGCCACGCCGCGGCTGACGTTTGTCGTACTTTGTAAAGCGACAGCGTTGCGTTTATAGTTTCGACTCGCTCGACTCTGAATTTGTTAGTAATTTTTGTTTTTTGTTTTTTTTTAAATTGTATTCAAAAGTTTTCCGCCTGCGCTACGTGTCATATGATTTGCCAAAAATAGCCAAGTAATAGAAAACAAACAAAAATTAAGGAGCGACTGAACAAAAATGCAGCAACATTAGTAAAAATATATACATACATATATTAAAAATACAAATTCAAATCAAATTCGAAATAAAAGAAAAAGTATTGTGCTCGTGTTTGCGTCGGTGTGAGTTCGTGCCAGTTTTTTTTTTTTTTTATGTGCGTGAATGTGTTGTGAAGCCGGCATAACATCAGTGCAGTGAAACAGCTGAGAGAGTTAGCGACGGGCACACACACACACACACACAAGTGCAACAGCCAACTGCAATAAGAAGAAGAACAGGGAGAACGAACACACACACAAAGGCACGAAGATGTATCGAATCGGTCCAATTGGACGCAAATCAAACTTCCATTCGCGCGAGAAATGTCTGATTGGACTCGTGCTGGCGACTCTGTGCTTCCTATGCTTCGGCGGCATTTTCCTGCTGCCAGACAACTTTGGCAGCGAGCGCGTACTGCTCGTCTATAAGCACTTCCAGAAGGCCGGTCCGGAGATTTTCATACCGGCTCCACCGTTGGCCGCGCATGGGCCACGCGACGAGGATCCCCATTTCATAGGCGATCGCCAGCGACTGCAGCAAAAGATTAGCGCCGAGCTGGGCGATCTGCTGGACGAACCGCAGGCGGCGGGCGGTGATGCGATCGCCCAGGCGCCAGCGCCGCTGCCGGCTGCCCAGCAGGAGCAGCCCCTCGAGCAGGATGCTGCGCTAGATGCGGCTCGTGCTCCACCTCGTGTTTCACTGCCAGCAGTACCAGCCGCAGCAGCGGACCACACAACCAACAACAACAACAACAACAACAATCAGCTCGTGACCGAGCAGCAGCTCAAGATGCCCATGGGCCTGGGCAAAGATCTGCCGGGCGACACCAAAGATCTGCGAGAGAAACGTGAGAAAATTAAAGAGGTGAGTTCAAATATCCACAAAAATAAAATGAAATTGCTCAAAAAGAAAAATAATAAACGTGTAAAGCACGCACGCTCCCCCCGCCCCTTTTTCCACATGCTGATAAGCGCGTTTCTCTCTTCAGATCTTATGCAAGATTTACTACATATATGCTCTATACTAATACTACTATATACATGTACCATATAACTATATATTCTCTATAATCTCTCGCTCGTTTCTTTGCTTTTTTTTTGCGCTCGTGTGTCATATGCTTCCTCTTCTGCTCCACGTCTGTGGACTTCCGTCACTAGCAGAGCTAATGTTGACGGATACTGCCACGGCGATAACTCATTGATGTGAACAAATTCTTATTAGACTTTATCACTAACTGCTGCTGCTACGCCGCCCCCAAAGAGAGAGAGAGAGGGGCGTGCCTTGGCTGCTGGCATATTGCGGTAAACGCGAAAAATTAAGCTTCGGCTGTGCGTGCAGAAGCGTGCCAAGCGCTAGAGAGGTGAAGATAGGGAGAACAATAGAGAGTTGAATAGGTGGAGAGAAGAGGGGTTAGAGGGGAATGGAGAGTAAAGTGTTACGATGATAGTTTGTGCAACAGGCACAGAGAGAGATTGAGAGAGAGAGAGAGAGAGAGGTAGAGCAGTGTGTCAGACGGGCTGAGTCCTTCAGGCTCAGACGGGCTTAGTCCTTCAGGCTGTCTGTACATTCTTGTATACCATACGCAGCAGGAGTTTCTTTGTTCGTCCCTCCGGTTGAACGCAGTGATCTCGGTAACTACAAGAGCTAGAGATTTATTTGAAATTGATATTATATAATTTTATTACACCTTTTTTTACATGTTAACCCGTTTCTCTATCTATCGGTAATTTGATCAACATCTCCTTCGATCATTTATACTGTTTCCCCATTACTATTTTATAAAAATCGTATCCTATTTGCTCATCATCAAATATCGATTATTAGGTTGGTTCCTTAATTTGAGTTCGGATTCCTGGATTGAATTGCCATTTTAATGAACACAATGAGTTGTGGATACCTACCCCCGTTCCCCTAAATTGGAATAAATAACGTGATTCAGTAAAAAACTGGAGAAGTCAACTTTTAAATTATAATGTAAGATATGTAACTCTTGTTGGAACTCAATAATATATCAATATGTGTCATATAACTCAATAATGGATCAATATATGTCATGTTAATGCATAGACATATATGTACATATAAAATTCCTGGAATTGACTTTTCTACTAAGCCACAGGAAAACCGACAATCAATGATAGCACATGACGAGTGTGTAATGAAATTTTGATAAGATTCGATATTTAGTATGATGATGCGACATGTTTTTGGTTTCTTTTTTTTTTTTTTTTTGGGCTTTGTTGTTCATTCGAAATTCAAGTCAGCACGGCATGAACCTATTCGTGGCAATGAACGAGGAATATAATTGAAATTCTTAGTTGCTGATAAAAGTGTAATACAAATTTCCAATAAGTCATTCTGTTCGATGGCTTTTAAGTAATGGGCGTACTCTAGAGTCCATTTGGGAACTTAAGTCGCACTTCCTCTGGGCACATTATCTACTCTCTCTCTCTCTCTTCTCTTTTCGTTTTGTTTCTCGATATGCTTTCACTTTGTTACTCATACTTCTGCTTCTTCTTCTCGGTTACCTCTCTTACCACTTGGGTTCTTGACCATTTCCATTTTGTTGTTGTGCTTGTTATGTTATTCCACTGACCCAGTATTTTGGGCGCTAAACTCTATTAAGTAAGACAAGATAGAAACTGATTCAGCAGCAAGAACAACAATGCCAAAATGAGAAGATCGCGAACATAGCAAAAATAACGCGTTAACGTAGGCAAAGTTTTACAGGGTATTAATGGAGTTGTCTGGATGAAAGACTACATAGAACTTCCATTTGAAATAAATATTTAAAATAGGTTTATAAATATTTACCCTTATTTTGAAATTATTTATTTTGAAAATTATAATAAAAAATTATTTTTTTTTTAATTACCAAAACATTAGTAAAAATTAACAAAATATCAGTGTTTAATTTTTTGTTTTTCTAATTTAAAAAAAAATAGTTTCGACTGCCCTAATATGCCTTGGAAATAACTAACCATAACTTGGGAAACTCAGCATTAAGTTGTCAATTTTATCCAGTTATAGGGTATGTCAAAGTCGGTACTACTTGACCAATTGAATTCTAGTCATTCTTTGTTTTGCTCTTGCGTTCGCACACTACATACTCCAGCACTGAACGTTGTCGCAATACAGGTAAAAAAAAAAAGGTATTCATTAAAAGTGCTTGTCTGTGGTTTTAAATACCCATTGCAAATCGGAATTCTCAGTATATTTGCTAGTCGCAATGTGTGGCAGATGGGGACCTATAAATATAATACAATGAAATATGACTGATGTATAGTTTCCCGGAATAAACCCTATATAAGTGTGCGTGAGCTTGTACTTATTACTCACAATGAAATATGTTTAGAATAGGCGTCTTCTAGTCGATCACTCCCTACTAGCGTATTCTTACTCGTTTACTTAATGTGGCTAACTATCGACAGATGCTTCAGCATCTCGATGTATGAAGACTCGTTTATCAAAACGTTTTCGTAACAAGATTTTTGTTTTTTGCTAAGGTTTCGCTTTCTAATAGACGTGGCGGACCCAATCCAG